CCAAGGACCGTCTCAATCTCAGAGTTTCTCCTGCTGCAGTACCAATTCGGGGTTCTTCGTCACCGGCGGCTTGTTTATTGACTCGGCAGTTCCATCTTCCTTCGCTTACTCAATTTGGTCGAAGAATTCGTCAGTTGAAGAGTCTGGTTCTGTTTCGGCTTCATTCTGTCATCAGGAACAACCTGTGTTTTTTGGGGTTTTGCGGTGGCGGAGGAAGCCTCGCATTGCTGACTGCGGGTTTTTGTCTCTGAGTGTGAGAGGCGATCGTTTTGTCCCGGAGCAGAAGGTTCGTGCTGATGGATATGAGAACTGCGAGAAGGCGGGAAAATGCGAGGGAGCTCTTGCAACTGTCGAGAACGATAAACAAGAGAAGAAATATACGGTACATAAAAGGAGTGCTATGAATACTACGAAGCATCTTTGGTCTGGTGCAATTGCTGCCATGGTTTCCAGGTCTGTCTTTACATGTTCGCTTTCAACTCATCGTTTTTGTTTATATCAGTATAGTATTATCGATTAGTTGTTGCGACTATGCTAATCAGTAGATTCAGATTGTTTTGTATAATGCTTTCCCCTCCAAGAACTCTTTATCATCAACTCGTTCATGAATTATCGTTCTGCTCTTATGCATTATGATTCTATATCTGTAACTGGTTAGTGGAGAAACTTGGTCGATGAAATGCAGTAGAAAATATTTAACGGACCTGTTCATTGCATTCATGTAGACTGCTGTTTGCCCTCTATAGCTAGACAACATAGTTTACGATAATCCATGTCCATGGTGATGAGTGATGATCTTGTTGTTGTAAGTTTTCTTGAAGAATAAGTTTATGCATCTCTTATGCATGTGCTATCGTTTATTTTGGTTCATAATTCTCATTTATTTGTTCATAACCCTTTTGGTTCATCTTCCATTTTGATACACGAATCATCTTGGTTCATGTATGACATTAATGCTTCTACGCCTAAATAAAGGATTGTCTAGGATGGTTGAGATATATTGAGTTTGAGTGTCATTTTGTATTTGTTGAGTGACATTTGGGAGGAACTTTGTTGAGAGACTATGTAGTGTGAGAGTGTGAGATATACACTTTGTAAACACTTAGATTATTGAGATTGGTTGCTACCCGTGGATGTAAGGGAATTTCTTTTCTCCGAGCCACGTAAATCTTTGTATCTCTTTGTTTAATTTCTATTGTGTGTGTGAGTGCGATCGATCTAGCTTCCGCTTTCATTACAACACTTGTAATATACTTTTTCAAGGTACAAGGGCCCGTATGTAAGCATTTGATGAACTAAAATTTCCGCCTTTTCAGAAGGTCGAGCGTTTACAATTAAATTAATGAATGGTTTCTAAGAAACACTGTAGTAGGTTCTTGTTATATTCTAAGTTATTGATGGATCAACAATTTTATTGCATCAGAACTTTTGTAGCGCCACTTGAGAGGCTGAAGTTGGAGTACATAGTTCGTGGTGAGCAGGGAAATCTTTTTTACGTCATCAAGAAAATTGCAGCTTCTCAAGGCTTAAAAGGGTTTTGGAAGGGAAACTTTGTCAATATTCTTCGAACTGCTCCCTTTAAAGCATTAAACTTTTATGCGTATGATACTTACAGAAAACAACTGCTTAAATTGTCTGGACGTGAGACTACTTCAAATTTTGAGAGATTTGTTGCTGGTGCTGCAGCAGGCATTACTGCTACCGTACTCTGCCTACCACTTGACACTGTATGTTATCATAACCTTCTTCTGCTTCTGCTTCTCTTCCCCCATTGTCTTCCCCCTTTGTTTTTTCTTTCATTTACATCAGATTATCCCTAAGAGAGATTCTTCTGTCTTTGAAGTATGGTTAATGAAGAAAAGTACTTCTTGGGGTTGTTACTGAGAGGAAAGATTGAAAGAAAAATGGTGCTCTGGTCTTAAGGATTGAAGAGTCCTACACAATGACCACCCAGCCTATGGGTGATCTTGGTGCCATGCATTCAAATATGTTTGAAAATCCATAGAGGCTTTCTTAGAAGGCATCTCAGCTTATAATTGGGGGTATATAGAATGCAATATGAATATTCGTAAATCACAACGCTACCCATCACGACCTGGGCATTCAAATGTGGTTTAGCTATGAGAACTATCCAGTATCCTCTAGAAAGGATAAAGGAAAGAGAAGCAACGACCGGATATGGAGTTCCTCTTGACCTTGCTAGGCACTTTGTTGCTTGAACCAGGACACATTCAAAGTGGTTCAAACTTCTCTACGCCATTATTAGTTTGAAACATCAGTCATCCTAGTCTTTATGCATAAGTTTCATTTGTGTATTCTTCATCTTTAAGTGGTAAATTATTGTAATCGTTGTATCTTTCAGATTCGAACAAAGATAGTGGCACCTGGTGGAGAAGCTTTAGGTGGTGTAATTGGTGCTTTCCGCTACATGGTCCAAACTGAAGGGTTCTTTTCTCTTTACAAGGGCTTACTCCCCTCCATTTTAAGCATGGCGCCTTCTGGTGCAGTCTTCTATACTGTATATGATATACTCAAAACTGCTTATCTGCAGTCACCAGAAGGAAGGAAAAGAATTCAAAATATGAACCAACAGGGGAAGCAATTGAATGCTTTGGATCAGTTGGAGTTAGGACCAATTAGGACTTTACTATATGGTGCTATATCTGGAGCTTGTGCTGAGGCAGCGACGTACCCATTTGAAGTAATCAGGAGGCAACTTCAAATGCAAGTTCAGGCAACTAGAATGAGTGCCTTTGCAACCTGTTCTAAGATAGTTCAGCAAGGAGGAATACAAGCTTTATATGCAGGACTTCTTCCCAGCTTGTTACAGGCATGTGATTCTGATCTTTCTTTTATTTATTGGCGTGAATTTACTTTCTTGTAACCTTGTGCTTATATCCATAATTATTTTAGGGAAATGGTCTTTATATCATTGACTCAGAGTCTCAAACTGCTGTGTCATTATGAATTCTTCAATGAACATAAAACAATTTGTTTCTGAGAGAACTAGTTATACCTAAATGCCTGAATCAGTCAAAACCCTCCTTTCCCAACTCGCCTGAAATATTATTCAGGTCGGGGATGGAAGTCATGTATTGGAGGTCTAATAAAGCCAAGTAGCCTACCAATACTTGGTAAGACAGCAATCGATACAAATATTCACCCATATTCAGTTGAGATTCCTTGGACATCTTGTCAACATGCGTATCGGCTCAAGCCCACCACTAACAGATATTGTTCTCTTTGGCCCTTTCCTTTCGGGGTTTGCCTCAAGGTTTTTAAAATGCATATGATAGAGAAAGGTTTCCACACCTTTATAAAGAATGATTCGTTCCCCTCTCCAATCGATATGGGATCTCACAATCCACCTCCCTTCGGTGCCCAGTGTCCTCGCAGGCACACCGCCTCGTGTCCACCCCCCTTCGGGACTTAGCCTTCTTGCTGGCACATCACACAGTGTCGGCTCTATATCATTTGTAATGGCCCAAGCCCACCGCTAGCAGTTATTGTCCTCTTTGGGCTTTCCCTTTCGAGCTTTCTCTCAGTTTCTAAAATGCGTCTGCTAGGGAGAGATTTCCACACCTTTATAAAGAATGTTTCGTTTCCCTCTCCAACTGACGTGGGATCTCACAACATGCTTATTAAAATATGCGTATAAGCTTGTTGGACAATTCAATCTGCTTTTCTGCCATTCCAAAGATACATCGTTTGAATCAACCCCTTAAAAACCAAGCCAAACTTTCTTAGGTCGTAGCCAACCCACAACATCAACTTCAATTATTGTGGAAGATCATTTTATAACTTATTTGAAAGTGACTTCTCCATTAATACTTGTCCTGAACTAAGTCACTAGCCCCTGGTATCCAAAACTTCCATTTGCATTTAATGGAACATTATGCTTACATAGATCAATTTTGTTTCACATCTTATTTCCTTACCCTCTAGCCAGTGACATAATTACATATTTTTCCTTTTTGTTCAGGTGCATTTGTATGTTTTCAGTCAGCTTTCTTTAAATGCATTTTTCTCCAATTTGCCTAACCAGAAAAATCGAAACTACTCATCGTCATACGATAGACCGAAATCTTTTCCTTTAGCTATTGTATTCTCTTAGATTTTCTCTTTTCTTTTTACTCACATACACTGCTTTGCGAATCCAGGTTCTTCCTTCAGCTGCCATAAGTTTTTTCGTTTACGAGTTCATGAAGATCGTCCTTAAAGTGGAATGAACGAACAACGACGACAGAAAGCAGGGAGGAAACCGATCAGTTGGCCCAACATAATTCACAGTTAAGCATCACAGACGGGTCATGAAATCATGGTAATCAGTAGCTTCCTTGACATCGTGAAATCGATTTTCGTTAGTATTCTTGAACTTAGTCGTGAATCGTAGAGCATATTCATCACAGCCCAATTTTGACTGCTACAGGAGATTCATTTTGAGTAGATTGTTCAACACAAATTCTCAATGTAATAAGAAGTTATGCAATTATGTGTATGTAATTATCATGAAGATTATTTATGTCAGATTCTGAATAAATGCTTCATATGTTGAATTTTTTTTGTATGCTTATCAATAGCTATAAAGTAAGGAACTTTTTTATTCTCAATTTAGCACTTTTTTTTTTTTTTTTTTTTTTTTTTTTTTTTTTTATATTTTTTCTTNATTTGGTGGGCCATTGTGTTTTTCCCAATTAATTCCTAGCCTCATGTTTACGATGGAATAAAAATAAAATATAATATAAAATATAAAATTATTTATTAATATAATTATCGATAATTTAATTATAGTTCAACCAGTTAAGACATTTTTTTTTATAAATTTTTAATAAGTTGGTCGAGATTTTATCAAAACAAAAAAAAAAAAAAAAAAAAAAAATCCACATTTACAACTTGGTAGCTGAAATTATAAAATTTTGAACAATTTTATTTTTTATTTTATTTTTTTGTTGGATAATAATAAATAATAATTGTACCAAGAACAGAAAAGGAAGGGAAAAAAATATGGGCGGAGGGTTGTGAGTCGCAAACTGACAGGGATTTCGCGTTAATTTAATGCTTGAGAAATTAGAGCACAGGATTTGGTTTTATCCGCGCCAATTCGTCTATGCTGCCTTTGGGATCTCACTTCCTCTTCAACTCACGCTCGGAAGGTGAGCCCTAGTCTCCGCTGCAGTGGCCGTCATGTCGCCGGGCGGATGTATTGAGAATGGGGACGCGGAAGCTGCTGGTAACTGCAAATCCGGTGATTCGTATTGCGAGCATTGTGGTCGTGGTTGTGGCAGTGGTTCGGCGGATTATTCTTCTTTGCCGGCTTTTTCTTGCTCTTCTTATTCACTTTGGCTTGATTCTGCGCGGTTGAGAGAGTCGGGGAAGTTTTGGCGGATTCTGGTTGCTTCTGCTAAAGGCTTCACAATCGGAGCTGGTCTTAAAGGTGGACTCTCCCTGTTTTCGATCCTTGCTGGATTGAAGCGGAGAAAGGCTTTGGCCTCCCTCGGGTAAGGTTGTTTCAAAATTGGTTATGAAGTTTATTTGCATGGTATCGTGCAATTTCTGTATGCTGTAAACAAAGATGATATCGAATTATGTTCGTTTAGGAAGAAAGGAGTGATTACGAATCGTGATGTAATTTCCATGGCTTTGAAGGAGACTTTGAGGTACGGCCTGTTTCTTGGAACCTTTGCTGGGACATTCGTTTCCATCGATGAGATAATAGGCAATCTGGCAGGTCACCGTAGGTATACTCTTTTCTATTCTGATTTCTGTTCATGTAATCCTGAATCTTTGCTGTTTCATGTTCTCTGTTATCTTTTTTTTATTATTTAAATGTTCTCTTTTAGTTCAGGACTGCAAGATGGAGGGCTCTATCAGCGGGAGCATTAGCTGGGCCATCAATGCTTCTGACTGGGTTAAATACGCAACATAAGACCTTGGCTATCTACATTTTTATGCGTGCTGCGGTCTTGGCAGCGCGTTGTGGGATTAAAAGCAAGCGGTTCGGCCATATTTGTAAGCCGCTCACGTGGTCATATGGTGACATCTTCCTTATGTGTCTCTCCTCTTCGCAGATCTTGTAAGAAATCTGCCGACCCAATACATTGCTGCTAATGCTAATACTATAGGTCTTGAGCGTTTGTTCTAAATTATCGCCCATTTTCACTTCGCTTGTTTTCCTGCATGGTATCTGAATCAACAACTTTACTTTTAGCCTGCAAATCACTACATGTAATCCCTAACGCAAGCAAGCAGATGGGAAATGTGATGTCCCACATTGGTTGGGGAGGAGAACAAAACACCTTTTATAAGGGTGTGGAAACCTTCCTCTAGTAGACGCGTTTTAAAGCCTTGAGGGGAAGCCCGAAAGGGAAAGCCCAAAGAGGACTATATCTGCTAGTGGTGGATCTGGGGTGTTACAAATGGTATCAGAGCCAGACATCGGACTATGTGCCAGTGGGGAGGCTGTTCCCCATAGGGGGTAGACACGAGAGGGTGTGCTAGTAAGGACACTGGGCCCCAAAGAGGGGTGGATTTGGCAGGGGTCCCACATTGATTGGAGAAAGTAAAGAGTATCAGCGAGGACGCTGGGCCCTAAAGGGGGTGGATTGTGATGTCCCACATTGGTTGGGGAGGAGAACAAAACACCCTTTATAAGGGTGTGGAAACCTTCCCCTAGCATACATGTTTTAAAGCCTTGAGGGGAAGCCCGAAAGGGAAAGTCCAAAGAGGACAATATCTGCTAGCGGTGGATCTGGGGTGTTACAGGAAACCAGTCAATGACTTGCATCGTTATGATTATGAACTAATTATGTAACCGTTGAACTAGATCTATTGTTGGAATGAATGCAGGTGAGAAAACTGTGTTCCGTATCTTATGACACCAGGATGGTATATGCGTTAGCCAAAATGTTCTTCTATGTTATTACTTTTGATCACCCAGATGAAACTTATGGTCCTTTATGCTGTCATATGAAATTACTTTGTGCTATTTTTTTTGTAGTATCTATTGTAAGTGACTAATTTTTATAATAATAACATACAGCTAATTAGAAGAATCATTTTCAGGTCTGCGTATGTGTTGAAGCAAGACAGCTTACCACCATCATTTAGTTCCTTTCTCAATATACATGGTGGAAAAGATACTGTAATCCTGGAAGGTTTAAAGAGTTTTGTATCAGGCATGCCATCTTCTAATAAATTTAAAGCAATAGAAAAGTACTACAGGGCAATGGGTGCAGATGTCAAATTAGATCTGCAAATGAAGACTCCATGCACGGTATTGTTTATATATATATATTGATTTATTTTGTGTTTCTCTGTTCAACTAGAAGAAATTAAATTCTTTGCTCTCAAAGTAAAATTAGTTGTTCCTTATGTGTTGCACAAAATATGCACGCACCTTAAACGTCGATGCACTGAGATATTAGAATATCTGCCATTGTAGCAGACAACTCAAGGCGTTAATGTACTTTCCTCTCACCTGATTCAAAATCCAAGACAAACTTTTGTTCTATCCAACTCATATCCTGTTCCCCAGTTTAGTTGGCATCTTGAAGTATTTTCAATTGTCAGCTGGTTGAGAAGTCTAGTGACATTATAAGGTTTATGGTTCTCCATGAATGAAAATTGCACAAGTTAGAGCTATTACTTGAACATGAATTCTATGTGAACAGATTGCAACGAAGAAATGGAAATGCACGCTAAAAATAGTAATTATAGATGATCCAAAGGGAGAAATTTATAAGTTTTTCTTTATCTTTGATTATTGAACCAATTATCGACAAATAAAATAAAATAATAAAAATCATCATTCCTGCTTAGCCAAATGCTATCAAATATTCGAAAAAAATTGATAATCTGTAAGTTTGACAATGCTGAAAGCACATTTCAGAGCTGTAGAAATGAATTATGCTCATTCCTGCCCCCACTATTCTTGGAGGTGAGCGGAGGCCAATTCTGGGGGAAAAACAAAGATTATAGCATAAAACTTTTTCCTTGGAGGCTCGTACCAAGACCTTCCAGAGGATTTTTCCAACCCATTCCCTTTCTTCCTCAAGTACTGGGGAACAATCTTTCCGAAATGTATCTAGTTCTTTTTGTTTTCTCCACATATTGTGTGATGTCAATTGTGATGCTGATTTGATGTCTGCATGCTTGAAATCATTCTGAAGACTCCCTGCTTAGAAAATTGAGGTGGTAATCATGGTATTTTTGAGAGTTTACCCTAACTATCTGCAGGTATCTTTTAATTTTAAATTTTCACTTTGCATATGCTCCTGCCAAGACTAGTAAGATCAGACCTGAAGGTTTCTTTCTTTCCTAATGCAGATTATACATGGAAATCAATCATGTGGTGGCCATGTTCTTAACTTTCTCATTCAAGGATATAAAAGAGCATTGCCAGTTTACCTACCTGTTTATCTTGTCCCAGCCCTGATAGTTCATCGTGAAGGTCTCATGAATAGGTTACATTTCAATTTGAATATCATTTGATTTATTTATACTGTGAAATGTTTGGTTTCAATTTATGATTAGAGGTAATGATTTCAAGTTAGGTTTTATTATTTTTCATGGCTCGTTGTGGTTGAACTATTGCTTAAACTGTCGATTATGTCGCAAATGTCCACTTATTAATTTTTAGGAAATGGAGATAAGTTCCCTAGTTACTCGAGTGCCTTCATAGGATTTTATTTCATGAGCAAACAAGGGCTATGAGTTTTGGGCTCGTTTATGTCTTTATTATAAACAAAATATTTAAAAAAAAATGAAAATTACCCATGCAAACCTATGGATAGGAAAAACAATTAAAAGAATGGAAAAAACTAAAACTACTTTAACTTTTTGAGACAGTTCTTAAATGGTGTTTTGTTCTAATTTGATTCCTTCATAGTTGAAGAAGTTATTAGATTACTTTACTTTTTTAATATAATCTTGACCTCGAGGATTGTTACAAAATACTTGCATGTTGAGATAACTTTTCTGGCTGCCTTTTTCCATCCATTGTTTTGTATTACGGAATTTCCATGTTTCCGAGGGATGAAAAGTGTTATGACCTTTTGTGCAGGCCTTACGAAATTTTAGCAAGGGGGCTTCTAGGAACTGCCAGATCAAGTTTGTTCCTTTCTGTATATTGTTCATCTGCTTGGTCAGTATCTCTTCCACTATATTCTTCTAATGCATTGGCTTCTTTTCTTTTCTTTTTTTTTTTCTTTTTTCTTTTTCTTTTATCGTTCTTGTTACTATTTTCTTCTACCTCGTTTGTGCAACTTTTTGTTTCACTTTAAAATGAAAATCCTAAGGAACCCTTTGGTTATATTAAGTGAACTCCTAATTATTCATTTCTAAAACCTTCAAAATCAACCACTACACTCCAAGGGAGAGTTAAAGAAGGTTATCTTGTGATCAATGACTAGGAAGTAAGGAGAAGTGGTTTCTTACTAGAAGTTTGAACACTCCACAAGAAAGTTGATTAGAATTGCATGAATGCTCAAACATGCAATCCTAGATCAAGAATCACAAAGAGGTTGAGTCTTGTGGCTCTCAAGTGTGTAGATAACATCAAAATAACGTAGTTAAATAGTCAATTTTAGGAATGATGTCCTAATTTGATATCAATTCATCATTCTAAACAAACTAGCTAAAATACCCTTACTTAAAACATGCTTAGAAGGGTAAAAATAGAAAACAATAAAAACTCTAAAACATAAATTTGGATGATAATTTGAAGTCACTTCAAAGTTTCATCTTCTGGAGATTATATCGGCTCAGATAAAAACAATAGTCTCTAATAGATCGTGTTTTTCCACCTACTTTTCAGGATGTGGACATGCCTTACTGCAAGAACTTTCAAGAAAATAAACATTCCCTTGGTTGCTCTGGCAACGGTATAGCTTTCAGTTCTTGATTCCAATTAATTTTTATAGAGCGAGAGCTCCTGTTCTTGTCCTGAAAAGCATATACTTTTTGAGCAGTTCTTAGCTGGTTTGGCTCTGGCCATTGAGAAGAAGAGCCGGAGGATTGAAATCTCACTCTATTGCCTTGCGAGAGGCATCGAGAGCTTCTTCAGTTGCATGACGGATCTGGGATACTTGCCACAATCATTGAATTTTAAGAGAGCGGATGTGATAATCTTTAGCATATCAACTGCCATTATAATGCACTGCTATGCACAGGAAAGAGAGGTATTTCGATCCAAGTATTTGAACGTCCTTGACTGGGTTTTTGGTGTGCCTCCTCCTCCCCCTTGTGATGAAACACCAAGCTGCAAAAATTGCAAGCAGCATTGAGGCGACGTCGGATCTTCTTCGACGAACTAGACTGACCAGGATTTTAGGGTGCCAAATATGTGCATTATTTGGTCATCAATTTTCATTCTACACAATATTACAATGTTTATGTGATCATTAGCTGATATAGAATTAGCATTCAATCAAGCTTTAGATGATTCATATGAAGATATACTTTCCCCACAGGGCCTCACATTTGGTAAATAACAGATGGCATTATTGTCCCGTCACTTTTCATTTGTTAAATAAGAGCCCCTTTTCATCAATTTTAACATCCCATAGAATCTCAAACTCAGACCTCGTCTTCGTGTAGAATCGGCGGCCAGTCTCCGAGCAAACAAGAGCGCCTTGCTCGAGATGCATCTCCAGAAGAGCATGGTGGAATCGTTGAAGGAACTCATGATTCCTTGAAGTATAATCTTTGATTATACCTTTGTAAGCTTGCAAGATTTCTTGAAGTGTTTTTAAGAGTGTAGAAGTTCACAAGATCAATGCTTATGGGAGCCTTTGAAAATTCAAAGCGCGTAGATGTTCTTCCCACTCCACAAAATCTTTCTTATTTTGGCCCGAATACAAGACATAATCTCTTTGAAAGAAAGTCTTGAAGAGATTTGAGAAGCATTTTAAAGAATTCTATGGAGAGGAAGTTTCATTTCAAGAGAAAACGTGAGAAATCAGTATCATCTTAGATCAATCTAAGCTATTTGTAAAAACTCTCGAATAATCTTTTGATGAATAATATATTTGAATATTTAATATATTAAAATATAATATTTTATTTAAATCATATTTTTAATATTTCAATATATATTTAGTAATTTGAATCTCATATAAATACATTAATTACGTTAAATATTTAGTTAATTTGAATCTCATATAAATATATTAATTATTTTAATATTTAACGTATTAAATATTAATTTGAAGAGTTATCCTAAAATTTTACCAAATATCTATTTTTATTAAGTTTGCGAATTTTCAAATTTACGTTGAAAATAATATTTGTAATTGGAAGGAATAGAAATTTAGAATTAAATTCGTAATTTTGCCGTTTAAAATTTAAAAGACCGAACAGTCTGCGTCTGTATACTTTAAACAAAAAGAAAAAGAAGAAGAAAGCGCGCTCACCGCCCCCAGGTCGGACTGCGCGGGAAGATGCCGAGGTCTGTAAACCAGGGAGACACTTGTGGAGGTTTCTGAAGCTTCTCTAAAATTTCGACATCACTTTCGCCGGAAGTTTCAAAGATTTCCCGTCGCTGTTTTCAGCGCTTGAATTCTCCTATTTATCTTATCGTCGGCTTAGTCCGGGGTAAGCTATGGAATTACTTCAGTTTTATTATCAATAGTCTCTCATGTTTTGTCAATATTGTCCATTAGAATCTCTTTTCATCCTCGATCAAGCCCGACCTTTCTGCTAAAATCGTTCTTGTTGATATATATAGTGATTTTTGAAATCCACCGTTGTTCTGTCATGACTTCAGTTGTTGATTTCGATTGCGTATGTTCATTTGACCTCGAATTGATTTTGATTTTCGTTTTATTGTAAGGGAAATTGTTGAGTATGGCAAGTTCAGGAGATTATCTTTCCCAGATTGACATTTCGAACGAGGTATGAGATTGTTCTCTCTGCAATAAGCCCTGTATGACTATTTGGAAATTGAAGGTTTGCTCCTTGTATCGCCCTCGCATGGTTAATATTTCTGATTCCGAAACCACTTTTAATCGATAGGAAAAGGACAAGCTCGTGGCGGAAGTTATCCGCTATATCATATTCAAAACTCATCAAAATTCTGGATGTCCCATCAAAAGGGAAGAGCTTACTCAGATCGTAACAAAAAATTATAGGAATCGAGGATTGCCGGCTATTGTGATAGAAGAAGCTAAAGAGAAGCTGTCAAGCATTTTTGGTTATGAGTTGAGGGAACTTCAAAGAGCACGGCCTTCATCCACTGCCCAAGGGCACCCTCCTCAACATAGTAAGAAGTGATCTAACTTATCATCTTACTCTTGATTATTACGATCGAGATCTTCAGACGTCGGTCCAACTCCCATTTATTCACGTTATCTTACTGCAATCCTAGTTATCAGAATTTTTGTAGATATGACTACTGCAAGTCACCACAGGTTTCTTTTAACAAACAGTACAGGGTTATGGTTCAGTCGTCATGAGTCGAAGCATACAAATTTTAAGAATGAGCCAACCTTTTGCAACTTTAGTATAGAAAAAGTGTCCAACTAATGTTCTTGTCAGTGGAACAAAATGTTCTTGTGGGTGACGAGTCCATAGGATTAGAAATTCATTTCTTCTAGTAATGTTATTGTTACTACTCCAATCCATGAGCTGTGCACATGCTTTATATTAAATGTGGTTCATTGATCATTTTATTACTTATGCTACACACTCCTATCTCAAGAACCATATATGTGAAATAGCACGTATTCGAATTTATTCTCATCTCAGAAACTGCGTATGCCCTAGGTTTTGGTTCATTCTTCAAAATAAACGTCTGATGTATCTGATATACAATCCTCTTTATTCATTGCATCGAAATAAAACAACTGGAACATGAGGGTTGGCATTTTTTTAGCATGAAAGTTGTGGCTATGGGTTGTAGAAAGTCATACTAAATTCAGTGGATGTACAGACTGCTGAATGTGGTTATTTGGTTATAAATTTTCTTAGTCGCTGAATAAGCTCTCATTTCGTCAAGAACTAGGATCTGCTGTATGCTTCATGGCTTGCCATTAATATTCTAATTTTCAGGTTACTTCCATCTGACATGGCTTACTGCAAAACTATATCGTTATTGGATCTTGCTTTAACTCTTGTCACTACATGCCTTCAGATGTTGTAGATTCAAAATCCTATGTTCTCATAAGCAAGCTTCCTGCGGAGGTTTATAGAAAGTATGTTGAGGATGTCGATACCGCACACGTGACTGGTTTTAATTTTGTTGTAGTTAGTATTGTACATCTGGCTGGAGGAAAAATTCCTGAAGGTTAGCTCTATGGCTGTAATTTCTTAATCCAATGCATACTTGGTAGATTTAGAGTGTGATAGAAAGACAGCTTACACATCAAATGGATTTCATTCATAAACTTTTGCTTTCATCTTATTTTGGAGACACTAATTTAGTACGTGAAACAAAATATTTCAAAGAGTTTCTTAGGGCAGAGTGCCACTTTTTGCTTCATAATGGAACCTGTCAATACACTGCAGAAAGCCTTTGGCATCACTTGAGACGAATGGGGTTATCTGAAAATGATGAAAAACATCCAGTCCTTGGAAACATCAAGCAGGCAGTAGAGTTGCTTGTCCAGCAAAGGTCAGTAAACTCTGTACTATATGCTTGGTAACTGCAATTGAGAAACTTCAACATAATTCGATGACCATAGAAGATACTGGAAAGACGGGTTTACAGGTTCATCTTATTCTTGCCGTGCTTTGTAGATATCTGCAGAAGGCCAAAATAAATGGTCCTGAAGGGAATATCACGTTCTACGAGCTTGCTGAAAGAGCTATAGATGGACCAGTTAGTGAAAAGATTAAAGAATATGTAGCACAGGTATGCAGCTTGTCTATATGTTTATATAGTGATGGATGAATATGTTGTTTTTAGTATAATTAAATGATAATCTTGTAGCATAAAATCTCATTAAGTTGCTAAATTTAAACTTATTATTTGCTTACTTTGGAAGAAGATTAAATGAACACGAGGAATAGAATCCCATAATCGTGTTGTCGTGCATTTTAGATTATGTGTCTATCAGTAATTAGTTTTTCGTAATTTCTTAAGTTGCATAAAAATTGTGCTTAATATGGATGGTTGGATGGACGAATCAATGCTACCATGAATGATGGAGCCCATCTTCTGAAGGATTCGCTGTTTATCTGTCTGGAGTGATATCTTTCTGGTTTCTGTTGAATCTAGTTTGCTTTCAGCTTATCATTGCATGTTTCTAATAATTGTGCTTCGACAGCATCAGATCATAGCTTCACGCATTCGACTTAGTTTCTCCTATTCCAAGCTGTCTTTTGCTGCTACAGAATGTCCAAGCATATTATAATTTAGAGTCAAATAGCATAACTTTACGATTCTTTTAACTAAGTTAACCACATGCCAACCTTTCAGTCCAGCTTGCTGATCTATTGGGTTTGTAAAGTTTCAAGATGAAGAGTTATATGTTTTTTTGGGTGTGTTTTAATCTTTTTATACATGTGAACAGCCGCTACTTTATGCGTTGCGGCTTATTATTATCATCACTAACAATCAAGAATATGAACTTACAAACAACTTCTTCCTTCATCATATTGGCTGGCCCATATTAATGTTTTTAAGATTTGATATTACATTAGAAGATTGTTTGTCAGAAGAAAATTATTCACGCAGTACGAATATGGCTATGATTTTGCTGACTATCATATCCCTTCTCCCAGATCGTCAATAAAAATGTTACTACAGAAGAGGGCTGACTATTGTCTCAACATTGCCTCCAGCTAATCTTGATGACCTCAAACTTCGCAAGGTGTGTTCAGATTGGTCATTTTGAATTGAATGTAATTAGTCTACATGTATGTCTGATACTTTAATTCCAATTGAATAGATTGGAGTTGTATTTATTGCATTAAATATTGTATGTTACAGCTATTTAATATTTTAGGTGATTTAGGGAATAGCCCATCACATTCAATTACACATCTAGCTCTATGCCTGTCTATGCCTATCTTCCTCTTTACTCGAGTGTCACAATTCCTTTTATTAAATTGCATCATAGAATCATTGACTTGGAGAAATTACTGTCGAATTGAAGTCTAACCTTGATATAGCTAGTGAAAGTTAGGAATTTGGTTGTCTGATCTTGATTCGAGTCAACTAGGGGAAGTTGCTATTCCTTTAAAAGAATCGACCAATTTGGTCTCACAGTTTGTCTATGGCATTTGAGATCGAATTCGTTGCACGATGTTACATACATAAGGTTTTGGACACAACTTCTAGTTAGCAGTTCAAAGTTGAAAGAAAAAGAATAGAATGAACACTGGTTTAGAACCTACCATAGATGATTTTGGGGCATTGGCAGTCGCAATAGCAAGAAGTTACACAAAGGGAGGGAAAGTCTGTTGGTTATTCCTATGCACAAATTGGGTTCAGGCATCGTTTGAAAATGCGTAACAAATTTTGAACTAACATTCTACAACAAGAAAAAATAAAAAATAAATGGATTAGGACGAGTATCCTTGCTTTACCTTCGTCGTTCACAAGATGTC